TTTCAAGCCGCAAACGGTCGGATCAAAAACAGGGCGATCACATCAATAGTAAGCAACTGGGAGAAGATGGAAACGGCAGAAATGCCATCCGGGCGGTGATCGTAGCCCCAGGACTTTACGCGATGTTTTCGGCCGAAGAGTCACACCCGGGTACAGCAAACAGTACTCGAAGCCCGCTAAGGCCTCAAGATTTGCCAGAAGGTGTGTGACATCCTCAAACCACCTGGGAGACGGGGGATCTTTCGCCAACGTTGCAATATTTCGCTCACACATCTCACCACCGCCCGTTGACTGTTCTTGGTTCGTGGACGGGCTTTGATCGCCGTTATCAACGCTGTGGTTTCGTGTTGTACGAACGGGAATTTAAGTCTTACCTGTAGCCGCCAGCATTACCGTAGTCGTGGTACCCAGGATTGCACCGCCCACGGCTCCCTCCAAACAACCATCAGGTAGCCCCATGATGATTCTTGAATGGATCAACGGAATTTACACCTGACGAGAGGCACGTGAGCAGAACGGAGACAGGTTCGACGAGACGGGATTGAGTAAGTCTGCACGTTATTGGTCGAAGTAACGTCAGGCGACGGGGACCGAACCTCTACCGAGTATGGTTGGATTTTACTTGTTCAATGCCTCAGCTTATCAATTTTTCGTTTGCGCCGAAGCAGCCGTGTGCTGTGAGAATAGACTTTCGCATCGCGAGCCGTTGTGATGTCACCTCGTCGAGACTTTCGTCGCAACGAGTCGGATAGAACGCCGAACCAGAAGCCGGCATGTTCTTTTCTGAATCTCGCACGTTGTCCGCTCGGACCGGCTGAAAGAAACCCTTCGATCTATCTGCCGAACACTAAGATGCTCCACAGAAAACCTAAACCTTTCAAGTATCTACCGATCATTGAGATGCACCAACCCATGAGAGAACTTTCGGGCATGTCATCTTGCGCCACCCCCGGGGGGCTTGACGCCCAATCCCGAAGGAAGGCCTTACAAGCGGTGCAATCTCCAGCAGATATCCGCATCGCTTGCGCAACTTAAAAAATCACGCCGAACATCTAGGGAGCGAAAATAAATAACACCACATCGAGCCAGGTTCACTGATTCTGTTGACTTCTTCAAAATCTCTACATATGCTGTCTACCCTATCGACTTCTCTTCCTTGCTTACTTCAGAACTCCGATCTGGGGGTATATGCACAGAGGACGTTTTCGAACGAAGTTGAAACTCGCCTACTCTACATGGACAGCAGTACTGTAGGCACAGCAGTCTGGTACTGGCGTAGCAATGTACAGCCGTAGGCACACCAGTCTCCTGGCGTACGACTGGCTGCAAGACCAATATTTAGTCCACATGGATAAATTGGGATATGTTCAGGGCAGGTGTCGTGTTTCGCGTGTTGCTATCATACAGTAGTACATGTCTGTCAACGTAGCGGTCGTGGCGGAGGTACAGCCCTTGGAGAGGTTCGTTCACCAACACTACTGAACATGAGCTACATCCACGGAGGTGAGGGAGACCTGCAGTATGTACCAACACCACGCGTACAGGATTTGTAGAGGAGGGCAGGCGTTAGAAGATCGGAGCCCTACTGCTGAAAAAAGATGTCCAATTACAGCGTATGTCCAAACACAGCAGTAATCGAACATCACCTGCAGTAGATTCCATATGCGATTGTGCATCAACCGCTGGGCCGCCGCACAACAGACACACTCGGGCATCGAAACCGCCGGTGTGATGGGCAGCTTCTTGGGTTGCCGTTGCACAACCCAAAAATGTTTTCTGGAGCGTACTAGACAACTACAAGCTGACCAAGCAGCGAATTTGAAGGTTGGAGCGGATTTCCCACGGGGTTTTTTCGAATTAGAATCTGAAATTTCGATACGGCATCTGCATTAGTACAAACAACAAAGAAGCCACTGCGCCATTTGTTTTGTTTTTTGTTCATGAGTTAGGCTGATCCAGTCGACCCCGCTTGAAGGATGCACATGGTTGTTTCTGAAAAAAAGCGTCCATAAAGCGGGGTTGCGTCCTTAGCATTCAGGGGACGATAGCTCACGATCCCCGGGCCAATGGAGGCATGCTATACCTCAAACTACGCGTCTTTTGTTGCTAAGGAAGGGAGTGATACGAAAAGTCAGCATCGCCGAGACGACTGGCAACCGTTAGTTGACGTCGAACATAGTTACAATACTTGAAATGAGATGTACAGCAGTCGGGGACGTGTTGACATCAACTAAAGTACACCAGTTTGTACTTGGCCAACTAATGTACTGCATAGCAGGCAGCGGAAGAAGGAGGAAAGTCCAAGTAGACACATATTTATCTCATTCTTGTGAAACAAAGAAAAAACGAGCGAATTTCAGCGGCTCACCGAGAAACACATTACATATATATATTATATATATCACTGTCCCGGCGGAGACCTAAAGCTACCCTGATGGCTTTTCCTTCCACATATTGCGAAGAGTTCACTGAACCTCCCCCCGCGGCTTGGCTCTACGGCTCTGTTGAGTTTCATGAGTAAACGGATGAACGGTCTTCGAAAGAAGGTACTGCGTCTCACGGTACTCGCCACCCCTTCCCTTCGCGTATACATACAGATAGCGCCCGCAGTTGAGAAAAATTCTAAGAAAAAGGCTCAACTTTGTCCGACAAATAAGCAAAAAGGGCTTAAGAAACATAGCTCAAATCTCGGCCACAACGTAAAAAACGCCCCAAAAATAACCGTTACGGTGCGATACCCCCATGACATCAGAAATCTGCGGTGCTCCCAACCTCCTCCCAAGCTGAACAGGAGTGCATTTTTTGTAGGGGGCAGAGTCCCCCCCCCCCCCCCCCCCCCCCCCCCCCCCCCCCCCCCCCCCCCCCCCCCCCCCCCCCCCCCCCCCCCCCCCCCCCCCCCCNCACATCGCGGACAACCATATGCTCTCCGCTGTTGTACGAGTTTGATGGCACTCTCCACCACCTCTCTTGAGGGCTTCATGACGTGGATTGTCCTCAGAGATCAAAAGACAGAAAAAATGAAAATACGAAGTACTTGTTGTCGTCTGCGGCATAAGCGAATCGGGAGGATGCGGCAGTCCAAAGGAAGAAGAAACACCATTTACGAAATGGACAACTTGGGCCGGTACTTCGACCCAAAAGAAGGGATTGATGAGGCTCGAACCGATTTTGACGTGTTTCAACTGTGGGCGCTATCTGTAGGATCGAACGTCATGCAAGCGAGAGGTAACCTCGCGCTCCGTGAGGGACGAGTTTATGCACGACTCTTTTTTTGGCGGCATCAGATGGACCGCCGGTAGATGGGAGGAATCTATCCATTGTTGTTGTTGTTGTTGTTTTTCTTCACATTACACTCGTGTCAGTTGCTAGTCCCAAAATCTAGCAAAGTCTCGGTCCGTGGTCACAAAAATGCTAGAGCCATCAGAAAATCTAGAGAACACACACACGATTAGCAAGAAAAGGGTACGCAAGCCCGACGAGGTACACCCACAATCCCTGCAGCACGTGTGTGTCCTCACAACTGAACTACACGGCCACACACTACAAATCGACTACAGCAGCAGCATCACCCCCCTTGTCCCGCATTTAACCAAAATGAATGTCGACTGCAGCGTACTGCTGTCTGAAGTGCTGTCTGTACAATAATAACACCATGGTGCATGGTACATACGCTCGGGGCATACAGCTGCTGTCTTACATGCTGTCAGAATGAGTCCGTGGACATACAATGCAGAAAAACACCCAACCAAAGCCATCATTGCAATTGACAACCACCCGAACCTATCCAGATCATCTGTGTTAGGCACAGCAGTGTAAACATCGACACTGACTAGGAATCGTTCCACATTGAAGGGGACTTCCACGATGCAGGTACACAATTAAGGCACCCGGGTTATCCGCGCCATCTCTGCTGAGTCTTTCTACAAAACCAGTGACGTCATCACACACACCCAACACCTGTATTCAGGAAAAAAACGGAAAAATAATTGATAACACAAGAGACGTTTGTCCAAGCGCCACGGTTCGATGACGTCCGCCTGCTCCGGTTCCGCTGCTCCGGTGCCGCTGCTCCGGTGCCGCTGTGGCCTGTCCTAGCAGGACCAAACTCGACCCGCTCCGCTTCGTACACGCTCTCGTTGCTGTCCATCCCAATCGGTTCCTCGCTTTCTCCCTCGTTGCACTTAGGGTTCTTGGTCTAACAATTCTCGCGCCGTAGGGTCGACCAGCCCAATCAGCTCGTCATCACCTGTCCCCTCCTCCTTTGATGGCAAAACCAGGCTACTGAGACAGTACAGCTCCCTCTAGCAAACCTAGGGCCGTGTACATAGTGCCCGTCCACCTTTCTGATGACGTCTGCCTCTGCGCACAAGGATGAGATGGGCATTGCTGCCTACACCGACGGCCTGGAGGCCCGCGCATCTGCACCTTTGTACCTGACGCACCAGTGCCGACCCAACTCCACCACTACGCACGCCTCGCGGCGGGTGCGCCGCAGCAAGAAGGTATCGGTCCCTTGACGGTGAGTCTAGCCCTGCTCGCTAGAAAGACCCCCCCCCTTGCTAAGGGTCATGCCTACGCAAAACCTTGCCGAGGCAACGAGGGGAAGAAAGAAGAGTATCCATACCAACACCCCGTTGCAGCTGCAGCAGCAGATCGCTCGCTACTTCTGCTGATTGTGCGTCGGTACTTCTGCACTCACTGTGGGGCGTCGTTCGTGCAAAGAGCGGCCCGCGGGCCCGCAGGACACAGAAAGGGGGTACGCGGCATAAAAAATGGGGGTACCCCATTATCGTACATTCTGCCGGCCCCCGATGCTCAGCAAAACAAGTTACCTTTAAGCGGGGAGTTTCCTTAATGCGAGCATCCTTAAAGCGGGGTCGACTGAATACAGTGGGGGCTACGGTTTTAAGAGAGCTCAGTTTAAAAGAATTGCCGATTTAAGAGAGGTCAAAATTGCTAGACACACCCTTCTCTCTTAAACCGAACCCCGAATCTCTTAAACCTCTCTGAAACCTCTCTCAAACCGAACCTGCCCCCCCACCCCTCACCCCCTATAGCCCACCAGCTGCCCCCCACTGCAGCAGCTCAAGCAGCTGTACAACAGTAGGCCATCATAGCTAGCGAGACACACAGCTCCCACGGATGCCTTGCGCCGCGGGTTCCCACTGCCTGGCAACGCCGGACCACACACCCGGCCCCCCACTGTTGACGAACCACCCATGCCGTGTCTGCGGAGGCCACCTTCATGGACTGTGCGGTGTGCATGACCCGCTTGGCGACAACGAGATACACACACGGATGTGTCAACTCGAGCAACCGCAAGGAATCAAGCACAGACTCGACTGCTGGGGCTGCATCTTCGAAGCGCCCCTGCCCGGACGGGCGGGCAACGGGGAAGGAGAAGCGAGCGGGCGCACTGGGCAGCTTGAAACCCGTTGGCAACACCGCACGTAGGAACGTTCGTGGCGCCGAAAACCGCAACCGACCGACGCTCGAAGACAACGTTCGGGCGCTCGACCTTTTGAAGAGCATGAGCGGCGTAGCAATCGCGAAGGATATGGGGATCGGGGTGAGCACCTTATACGGGTTGAGAGCTCAGGAAGCAGACATCAGACAACAGGCAGCAGTCTCCATGCCCGGCGCCAAGTCTACGAAGGGGGCTGAGTTTGCGAAGGTGGGTGCTCAGCTATGTTTGCTGTAAAGCAGTTAACAGCAGAGTACAGCAGTAATTCCGAGTGTATTTTGATTTTGTTTGGGAATTTTGAATTTTCTTGTACTAGCAGGGGTCGTGTACAGCAGTTTATCAACAGTTCTTGTGTACATTACTGCTGTACCACTACAGCAGCAGCAGTAGTTTAATTCCGAGTATGTTTGTGGCCGTGTTCAGCAACCGGCTAGTGTGGCGTAGGTACGCTGTATCATGCCGTGCAGTATTTGCTGTAGGATGACATGATATACAGCAGAGCAGTAGCAGCAGTGCTCACACTACAGCTGCAAAATCTGTGAATAAAATATGTCCTCTTTTCTTCTCCAGGTGGAGCAAGCAGTAATGGAAATGTTGGTGCAGGCGATGGCACTGAGAATGCCTGTCAACCGGGACGCGATCCAGGCATTCGGGCGCAAAGCTCGTCGTGCTCTCGAGAACGCAGCATCTACGGACGCCGAGCGTGTGCAGTACAGCGGCTTCAACGCGTCCGAGGGGTGGGTAAAGAAGATCGTCAAGCCCAACAACCTGCACTCCCGTACACTCCACGGGGAAGCAGGCAGCGTCGACGACGAAGCCATCGCCGATCGCCTCAGNCATGATATACAGCAGAGCAGTAGCAGCAGTGCTCACACTACAGCTGCAAAATCTGTGAATAAAATATGTCCTCTTTTCTTCTCCAGGTGGAGCAAGCAGTAATGGAAATGTTGGTGCAGGCGATGGCACTGAGAATGCCTGTCAACCGGGACGCGATCCAGGCATTCGGGCGCAAAGCTCGTCGTGCTCTCGAGAACGCAGCATCTACGGACGCCGAGCGTGTGCAGTACAGCGGCTTCAACGCGTCCGAGGGGTGGGTAAAGAAGATCGTCAAGCCCAACAACCTGCACTCCCGTACACTCCACGGGGAAGCAGGCAGCGTCGACGACGAAGCCATCGCCGATCGCCTCAGAGTAATCCGCGAGACGTGCGCTCAGCATGCCCCAGAATGCGTCTACAACGCCGACAACTCGGCTGTGCTACAGGATCATGCCCAAGGCTACATGCCTCGCACCATCAGAGCTCAAGAAGGCCGTGCGAGGCGTGAAAGGTATGAGATCGAAGGATCGAGTCACCGCCTACATGGCTACGAGCGCCAGCGGGCGTAAGGTGCCGCTGTCTCTTATCGGCACAGCCAAGGAGCCTCGGTGCTTCAAGATCCGGGGCTCAACCATCAAGTACTTCAGCCAGAAGAACGCGTGGTCGGACGCGCGAGTGTTCAAGCCGTGGTGGTCGCAAGTGTTCCTGCCACACGTGCGCTCCGTCACCAGCGACAAGGTTCTTCTCATCATGTACAACCACAGCTGCCACGCCGACCTCGTAGACCCCAAGGAGCAGGTGAAGATTCTTGAGCTGCCACCCAACTGCACGAGCAAGCACCAGCCCATGGATGCCGGGATCATCGCAGCCTGGAAAGTGCGGGACGAAGCTGCTGGGGATTCGCGTCGACACGATGACGTCGGCGGCGCAGCTACGGGAGCAGGCGAAGGAACGCAAGGTGATTCGGGGCTGCATGGGGCTCGCGGAAGGAGCGCAGCCTCACATCCTGGACGCAGCTGAGCTAGGCCTCGAGGCGTGGAAGGAATTTTTGCCGGAGACAATCAAGAGGTGTGTCCGTGTGGTGATGTTCATGACATTATTCAATAACTGCTGTATAACTTCCCCCCTCTAGACACATACCGTTACCACGTATATTGCACGTTGACGAAGTCGTTAACTGACGCCATCATCTTGCAAGTTTTTCTTGAATTGAAAAAATGATAAAATGCTTTTTTTTTCGTTCGGCTCGTTCTGTTTTTTTCTTTTCTCGCCGTGCACGTTTCTCTCTCCTCCCCGCGTACTTTGACTATTCATCGTTTCCAAGGTGCTGGAGGAAATGTGACACCCTTCCTCCTGCGGTGCACGCGGACCTCGACCAGGACGTGGGAAAGAATATCCGCAACAAGAAGGAGAGTCTCGAAGAGTTGACAGACTCGGTGCAGCGTCTTTCACTTGAGACGAAGAAGACAACTGTCGATGAAGACCTTGGCGAGGCGCTTAAGGGTCTGGGGTTGACACCTGGCGCAACGCCAACCCGGGCTTCCATCGAAGCCGTGCAGACATGGATGCGTGCAGAGGAAAAAGAGGGTGTAGCGGAGGCGATTATAGCAGATCTGAAGGACGATCTTTGTGGGGAGTAGCTTGCCCACCTGAACATGGACCAACTGAACATAGACTCGGACGACGACGAGGCCGACACTTCGGCGGGAGACAAGGGACAGTGTACGCAGCCCCTGGTCTCTCCTCGTCCGCCACCGTACGCGGACGTTTCTAGGCAGTTCGGAGACCTCGAAGAAATAGCAGAGAGGTGCAGCATGGCCGGGGTAGCTTACCATCTTCGCGAGGCGAAGTTAGCCTGGATGAGCGAGGCTGGGTCAAAGACAACGAAGCAAACATGCATGGCAGACTTCATGGAAAGTTGCAGAAGCTGCCCACAGGCGATGTTCATGGACGTCTGTTTTTTCTTTTAAGGGTAGGGTGTACTACTTGTACTGCTGTAGGTGCTTGAGTCACTTGTCTTGAGTGTTTTGTGTGTGTGATGCCCACGTCTGTGTTCTGTTGGCAGCTATCCTATAATATGCACTGCTGTTTGTCGAGATGAGGTCGGAGTACGCATTGAAGACCACGTAATAGTTACATCGGCTGTGCTACGTACACAACAAGCAGGAAAGATCACGCTTGAGAGCCCTATGACGCACGAAAATATTGTGGAAAACAAAAAAAAATACTTTTCATCACTTCGATCATGTTAGACCCTGTTAAGAGACATATAATCGGTTTAAGAGAGGTCTTCTGGGTGATGCACACCCCTCTCTTAAACCGTAGCCACCACTATAAGTGATCATGGGAATATTTGCTTTGCGAAAAAGTCGCAGAAAAAAAGAAAAAAAAGTCAAATGGCGTGGCTTGTTTATTTGTTGTACTCATGAGCATGCCGTGTCGAATTTCAGTTTGAAGAACCGCGTGGGAATCGCGATATTCTCACATTCTCTCAGGGGTAGGTATCTTGTGTATTGTATCGGATTCTTTCCCCATAACTTTTGATGGAAGATGCCTTGAGCCTTGAAACTACCATCTACCCTCTCGCGATGTTCCCAGGTACATGCGCAGCAATTTTCAGCTTGATCGCAGAAACTTTGTTTATACTGATTTCAGTACAGGAACCCCACTATGTCGCCATTTGATAGTTATGTACCTGCGCTTCCCCTATGGTGTTGTGAGAAAACAGCAGAGTCGGACGTGAAAGAATGAACGTTGGCTTCTTGGTCAGACCAGCTTTTAGGCCCTGTTCAAACCTCTTTTGGCTCGGTACCGTGTAGTGTTTGCCTCGCGATTTTCCGGACTCCTGTCACAGGTGCAAAAGGCAGCGTCACGACCCTCCTGCAGCATGCGCACCATTGATTAGCTCAAGCCTGAAACAGTGAGCCAAAAAATAAAGCCAGCTTGGGACTCTAATCGCTGACGATATTCGTCGGCTTGCGTTCAACACAGCAGTTTGTGTAAACTGCGGTGCTGAAACTGGCCAGGGGGTCCAGAGGCCATAGTCTAATGGCGGAAGCCACAACTTGCTTCTCTGTGCTCCGCTTCACCAAGGAGCAATAACTAACGCGTGTCCGCGGGACCACCGTGGCGACATTGCGTGCGTTCCGCTTCAAGGACCAGCACTAGCATGCGAGAGGCGGATGCTCATGAGTTACCCTGAGCACCTTTCTCCAACAGCTGCCGAAGTTGAGAAGCTGACTTGAGGACAAATAAATACACGCACAGAAAGACTACCCATTCGAGAAATACCCACAGCAGTCGAACGGGATGTGGTGACTTGTTCTAGAAGAAGTCTACCCGACATAATAGCCTATGCGACAGCCAGCAGTATGCACATACCGGAGTTGACGAAGGACAACCTACCAATGCCTAGTGACCAGGAAGAGAATGACCCCGCCGAACTCCAATAGGGCACACCGCAACCACAAGCTCATCTCACCTCAGAAAAAGGTGCGTGGGTGCGAGAGCGTAGAGGCAGGAGGCAAAGGAGACGCAGCTGGGAACGACGAGACTGCAGAAAAGAAGCGATTGGATCGCTGGCTAGGTCAATTTTAATTGGCCGAAATCACCAGCACTTCTTGTTTTTTTTCTTCGCTTCAATTCAGCACTGACGGTACCATCTTGCCGTTCACTTCAACCCGTGGTCACACAGAAGCACCCCTCTCTACCCTACCGTCCTGCGGTGCTTTGCCTTCGATTTTTAATGCGAGTAGAGCTCAGCACTCTCTTCCCTCTGTGTACACACGAACTAGCGCTATCGACTACGCCAGGAGCGGAAGCGAGAGAACAACTCAATTTGCAAGAAAAAAGCTCACTTCGCAATTTGTTACGATTTCTTTTTTTAGGCTGTCGTTTCTTCGAAAAAGGGAGTACCCGAAAACGAAAACAAAAAAGATGACCACGAGATATCCATAACTCCTGCCTACACATGGACGAGAGAGGTGAACATACCCATTGCATTTAACACACACCCACATGTTGGTGATGAAACCTCATCAACCACACGCCTCTATCGGCGACCACGTCATCAGGAGGCAATCATGAGAAAATGTTCTCCCGTGCCCTTCGCACATTTGACATGAAATTACACAACATAAATTTATGACACACACAAGACAGCTACCAAACTGATTTTCTGAGCCTGTCACCCGCAGGGGAGTTGTCCCTATAGCCTGTCTAGGAAATCGTAGACATACAGGTAGTTTTCTCCGACGCTATAATTCCATTGTTAATCTGTCTCTGACTTTTTTCTATGATAGAGATGGACTCGTTGTGTCATCTTGTGTCACATATTTTTTTTATACACGGTGACACCACTCCCGTGTGCCCGCACATCAGCCGCACATACTCTCTCTCCGCCTCCCCCCTCCTCCCCNTGTCTAGGAAATCGTAGACATACAGGTAGTTTTCTCCGACGCTATAATTCCATTGTTAATCTGTCTCTGACTTTTTTCTATGATAGAGATGGACTCGTTGTGTCATCTTGTGTCACATATTTTTTTTATACACGGTGACACCACTCCCGTGTGCCCGCACATCAGCCGCACATACTCTCTCTCCGCCTCCCCCCTCCTCCCCTCCCCGGGGGAGGCCGAGGCCCGCAAGTGCAGTTA